AATGTGCAATGATAAAATAAGAATAAAGTATAAATATTATTTGAAGGATTATTTTCTTTCAGAGACTTTACATTTTTTTTTTTTTCAGATAATCGCTATTTTTAAATGGAGTCATTTATAATCTGCTCAAAAATCTTAGAATTTTGTGAACGATTCAAATTTCAAATATAAAATCTATAAGAATTTTTATAATGTAATAACGTATAATATTTATAATGTAAATACTTTTAACCAATTTGATGCTGAGGATTTCCAAAAACTATCCGTGAACATTTTCACTCCTTGATCATTTTGTTGAGATGGCAACTGTCCCATAGAACCAAATGTTACTAGCCTTGAAGTATAATGATTCACAGCCAAGAAGTCAGAGCTTCCTCTGTATAAAAAGAATTAATACACGATTTAAAATATTTTCTCGCATCAAATATCATATTCCTTGCATGATTATCTAAATAGCACATAAAAATATCTTAATGTAATCTTGCAAATATCTTAAAAATATTATCTTATGTTATAGATCAGAAATTTAAAAGATTTTATTATATAATTATATTATTGATATAATTAAAATATTTAATAATTTAAATTAAATTGTGAAATTATTGAGTTATTTATAATTATGTATGAAATATATTGATCGTATCTTTTAACGATAAATTATGAAACCAAAATACAATTAGTCAATAGTGTATCGTAAGATAAAATCTGTATCGTAAAATAAAATCATTATTTTTAAGAAAACTTTAACTTAAATAAAATAAATTATCCAATACCGTATATATTCAATCCAATCTGACTCAAACGTAGGTAAACGAGATTTCATGAAACCTTGCTCCAAGCTTTTGTTATTCACCATGTTCTTCATCAATTCTGGGTAATCACCTTCGTTCGAGTAAATTGGATGCAGACACCAGCCAACATTGAACTGGAAAGCAACTTCCGCAGCTTGCAAATCTGTCAAATTCCTAGGTATGTAGGCCATTATATTGATCAAAAAACCAACTTGGCCATTATAATTGTTTTTAAATTCTTTCTCATAAATTCTGTAGGCTCTTGCATGCGCCTTGATCATATTATGCATACACAAGTATTCACCGATACCGTGCAATTTTTTGCCAGGCGCGTTTATGCCGGACGAATAGCCATCCAGACACATGGACTTTGGCTCGTTTATCGTAATGAATCGTTTCACTTTCCAACCGAATTCATAAAACACAATTCTGGCATAATCACCGAACCAATCTACCATATTTGAGTTCAACCAGCCACCTGCATCTTCCAAATTTTGCGGATGATCCCAATGATAAAGCGTTATCATAGGTTCGATATCGTTTGCCAATAATTCATCGATGAGATTATGATAATATCGAACACCATCTTTACTAATATTGTTCACGAAGCCAGTTGGTAGAATTCGTGGCCAGCTAACGGAGAAACGGTAAGATTTAAACTGTAAGGTAAGAGGATTTGATTTGTTATTGACTTTTATTAATATTTAATAAATTTTATTAATGTTTAATAGTAATGGACGAGTTTTAAATAATCAATGATTTTTTTATTAGATTTTCAATGATCAAGATAATTTTTTTAAAATTGCATCGTGCAATTCTTAATATTATTAATGATAGTATATACGAAAATAGTGTAATTTTTATAAATTTAATTCTTCTATTTGAACAATTTTATTATTCAATTATGTGAGATTACATTGGAAATTGTAATATGTAACTAAGAGATAGAAATATTTAAATCAATCTCTCGATATATTTCAGGAAATTTCGTTATGTATGTCTGTCTAATGTTCTAATATGTCAAGCAGGTAAGGAATGACATTTTGACACATGTAATTCTGTGAATTGTTAAATTATTTAAATTCTCTTGTATTTGTAGAGATAAAAATCATTTTTCTATATAATATTTAGAAATTAAGAATTAATTAAGTATTTCTATATTGTATATAGTTATAATTAATCACAAGAAAAAAGGAGAATTAAGTATAAAATATATTTTTCTAATAAAAATTTAAAGCAGAAAAATTATAACAATAAAAATTTTAAGTTGAGATTTTTTTTAAAAATTAAACTACCAAAAAAAAAAAAATAAAATAATTAATAAATGGAATAAAACTATTTAACCGATATATATATAGTTTCGAAGTGATCTGATTGGATTTAAAAATAATTTTAATTAATAAAAACATCAACATATGAAATTCTAGATCATATTAAAATTATTTTCCAGATAATGATTTTTTATAAAACTATGAATTATTTTGTCAATCATTTCAAATTAATAATAGCAACAAAATATTCTCTCATTTTGAATTTTAATTCTCCGCAATAAATATTATCTTTCAATATATTATCTCATAAGAAAGAATCGAATGAAAATCAAATATAGTAAAGCTATTATATAAAGATATTATATTATAATATCATTAAATTCTATAACTATTTAAATATTTATAGTTTAGATATTGTTACAGTACGTAAGTAATAATATATTAAAATATATTTACTCCAATTTTCTTCAAAAGAGCGACATCTTCCTTGTATTTATAATAAGAGTTCGCGGCAATATCTCCCGTATCATTATTATAAATGCGATGATCCTTATAATGGACGAATCGATCCCAAATACTTTCTCCTTTATCTACATTTTCAAGATAAAATGAGAAATATTAGAAAAATTAACAAATTTAAAGATGAAAATTAAAATTAGAATTGCATACCGCTCACGTTCCAAGCTCCTTCTATTTGATATGCGGCTGTTGCAGCTCCCAAAAGAAAATTAGGTGGAAATCGTAAATAATCCACACTAGTATTATAAGCAACTTTACCACTTGCAGATCTAAAAAAAAATCTATCTTTGAAAAATCATTATCATACATTGAACATATAGAATAATTAAGTTTAATTTGCTTTAAGTTTCATATTTTAAGGAAATACGAAGAAGAAGATTATTTTAAGAAAACAGGAATTAATTCTTTCAACATAAGTATTTATATTCTATAACAATTAATACAATTAGAAATTATAAATATTCATTATTTATATTTATATATTATATAATTGGAATAAAAAATAATCATAATAATGAATTAAAATAAAAATAATCTATTGTAAAATATTATTGAGATATCCATTATTTCAAATATGTGA